TTTTTTGTACATAATGAATTTACGGTCGTTATGTAGTTTCATAACGAATTCACATTCGTTAGTTGAAGAAAATCTCAAAAGGAATGTACAATCGTTATCAATTATGAAATAACGAAATTACAGTCGTTATCAATATCGCGGGCGCGACAACGATCACCGGCGCGACACTGAAGCTGCAATTCGATTGGCAGAGATCTTCCCAGGATGTCGGTGCAGAGATCTTCCCAGGATGTCGCGGGCGTGACAGGTGTCACGCGCGCGACACGCTGATATTAAAAAAAATAGAAATATGATGTAAAATATTTGTAAATTCATTATTTTAACTTGAAAAATGACTAAAATTAGACCTATTACGAGTTTATTATCTTTAGAATGTATTATATGACGAATGCACGATCGTTAAAGGTGGATTTAGTCGAAAAACAACTATAACGAATATATATTCGTTATTTCTATGTTATAACGAATATATATTCGTTATAGTTGTTTTTCGACTAATTCGAGTTTTCTTTATGGTTATTTCCATAGAATTACTTGATAACGATTGTATGCTAATGTTATATGACATTTGAACGATAGTTTAAAGTTATTAGAGCGTTGAAACCTTCATCACAGAACTCTTTTCTTAAAATAACAACACTTTTTTTTTTAAAAAAAAAAAAATAGAAATATGATGTAAAATATTTGTAAATTCATCATTTTAACTTGAAAAATGACTAAAATTAGACCTATTACGAGTTTATTATCTTTAGAATGTATTATATGACGAATGCACGATCGTTAAAGGTGGATTTGGTCGAAAAACAACTATAACGAATATATATTCGTTATTTCTATGTTATAACGAATATATATTCGTTATAGTTGTTTTTCGACTAATTCGAGTTTTCTTTATGGTTATTTCCATAGAATTACTTGATAACGATTGTATATTAATGTTATATGCCATTTGAACGATAGTTTAAAGTTATTAGAGCGTCGAAACCTTCATCACGGAACTCTTTTCTTCAAATACAACACTTGTTTTTTTTTTAAAAAAAAAATAGAAATATGATGTAAAATATTTGTAAATTCATCATTTTAACTTGAAAAATGACTAAAATTAGACCTATTACGAGTTTATTATCTTTAGAATGTATTATATGACGAATGCACGATCGTTAAAGGTGGATTTGGTCGAAAAACAACTATAACGAATATATATTCGTTATTTCTATGTTATAACGAATATATATTCGTTATAGTTGTTTTCGACTAATTCGAGCTTTCTTTATGGTTATTTCCATAGAATTACTTGATAACGATTGTATGTTAATGTTATATGTCATTTGAATGATAGTTTAAAGTTATTAGAGCGTCGAAACCTTCATCACGGAACTATTTTCTTCAAGTAACAACACTTGTTTTTTTTTTTAAAAAAAAAATGGAAATATGATGTAAAATATTTGTAAATTCATCATTTTAACTTGAAAAATGACTAAAATTAGACCTATTACGAGTTTATTATCTTTAGAATGTATTATATGACGAATGCACGATCGTTAAAGGTGGATTTGGTCGAAAAACAACTATAACGAATATATATTCGTTATTTCTATGTTATAACGAATATATATTCGTTATAGTTGTTTTTCGACTAATTCGAGCTTTTTTTATGGTTATTTCCATAGAATTACTTGATAACGATTGTATGTTAATGTTATATGTCATTTGAACGATAGTTTAAAGTTAATAGAGCGTCGAAACCTTCATCACAGAACTCTTTTCTTCAAATAACAACACTTGTTTTTTTTTTAAAAAAAAAAAATAGAAATATGATGTAAAATATTTGTAAATTCATCATTTTAACTTGAAAAATGACTAAAATTAGACCTATTACGAGTTTATTATCTTTAGAATGTATTATATGACGAATGCACGATCGTTAAAGGTGGATTTGGTCGAAAAAAAACTATAACGAATATTCGTTATTTCTATGTTATAACGAATATATATTCGTTATAGTTGTTTTTCGACTAGTTTGAGCTTTCTTTATGATTGACCGAGATTGTACTAATTTGACTTCAATTGTACTAATTTGAATTCAATTAGATTAATTCGAGTTCGATTATATTATAATTGACCGAGATTGTA